AACACCACTGCCTTCTTCCCCTCCTCCTCATTTTAACAGAAGCAATAGCATTTAATTTAATCCACCCAGAAGCAATGACAGAGTCAGCAGTTGATATACAGCTAGTGCTGGTTAGAACTCTGAATTACTGTTTTGTGAAGAATGTCAACATTTTGACATTTGTTGCTATTCTCAGGGTAGAAAGGAACTACATATTCATCTGAAAATTTTGAAATGTCACACTGAACTCGCAAATTTAACTCTGAATTTCAGAATTTCACCTTCTATTCCATTTTACAGTAGTTTTCAGTCTTTTTTAATTCATTAAATGCCAAAGCAGAGTATTTTAAATAAGTCTTTTTAATTCTACTTTGTTTTGTTTTATTTTAGCATATTAAAACTATGGAAAGCCACTGTCCCACACTGACAGAAAACCAACTTCAACCATCATTTTACTCTGTCTCTAAATCCCATCCAGTGAAAATTTTTGAGACTTGACTTTTGTGAAAAAGACACTTGGGTGGAGACACATAATTTTGGGTGAGAAGCGCTATACAAGCTGCCTACCTTTCTCCACCAAGTCAAAAGCAACACTAAAAAAGAATATATCCCTGTGAAAGCAGGAGGGAATCTGGTAGACTGCATTTATTCATCTGCAGAGAACAAAAAATTTCTAGTTGCTAGATTAACAGCAAACAGCTAGTGAATTAGTCCCAGTTCAAAAACAGGTGCTGGAGGTATCCACTTTATGTGAGAGATGGCAGACTGTAAAAATTATTAAACCAGTACAGGAGAAGTGCATCAGTCATAGCAAAGGACACCAGCGAGCATATGTTTGTGAGGCAAAGATGAAACTTGCAAGTGAATGTCTCTATCACAGGTATTAAATCAGTGGAAAAACTGACAAAAGCAGTGTAAAATGAGAAAATAGCAAGCCATAATGGTCCTTTTTGGGCACTGAAAGCTTCATGAGCACCATAGGTGCTGGGTGTAGCAGGCAGCAAAGAAACCACCTCCAGCAGTGCAGAAATGATGTGGTGGCTGAGGTCTGGTAATCACAAGTGGTCACCACCACCTAAACCATGCCAAAAGCATAAGCTACCTCATTAATTTTACCTCCTGATTTCCAGTTGTCTTGCCACTTTTCATGGTGCTTACCTCAAAAGGTGCACAATACTGAAAGGTCATCTGAAGAGAGGGCCATGCTTCATATGCACTGATGACTCTTTATGCATGAATGGGGACAGTGAGACCCGTGGCTGCTTTGGGCTGACCAGGTTAAGGAACTCGTGCACTTGTGCCATGTCAGGGAGAACAGACACAGTTACTGCAGGGACACTGCTCCTTTTCTCCTTCTAGAAAATCTGCAGGAAAGGAGCACGGACTTGGATGCTGTACTAAATCAGAGCTACAAGACACTTCTGTCCTCTCCAAATTGGCAAATCATTCTCAAGAGGTCAATGTTTTTGTTTAGATTTCTCCCATTCTGGATGAAAACCACAAGCTCTCTCAAATTACTTCAGTGGTACCCAGTCTGGATGTTGAAAGCGTGCAGGTTCCTTTAGGAAGGAATGCCGTTCCCCAAGCCTATGAGTAGCAGAAGGAGAATAGCTGGGACCTGAGATCTAGGAAGAACAGACCTCCCAGTGGCCACCCCTCAAATACATCAGGAGATACAAGAGGTTCCTGAAAGGTTCATAAATCCACCTGGGAGACATCTAATAGTGTCTCAAAAACTTTCAAACATGACCAAAACCAGTAAAAGTACCTAGACTTATTTTGAGATAAGAGAGCTCAACAAAGGTAATTGGTGTCTTAACCAGCCCAGCACAGAAACATTTGATAGCTAAGCTGGTCAGTGGTAGGAGTTTTATCACCCCTGCTTTGGCCACAGGGCAAAGTTTCAGTAATTCTCCATGACAGAAACATGCTTTGTCATTTGTCCACTGTGGATATCTTGCTGCCAGAAATCAGCATACCTAATGAGCCACCCTGATCTTGTGCATTCTGGCCTTTGGGAGGGGGGAAGTTAAAAGAGAGGATACAGATTTTGACTTGGTCTGAGTAGGCACAGCACTGCTGACAAAAAGCACAGGAGTAGTTGATTGTGTCACGTGTTTCTGTGATGGTCTCATGGGAGCTCTGCTGCTGCTTCTACAAAAATCCCCACCACCTACCATCCAGAGAAGAAAGCTCCTGAGGTTTTTCAGCCCTTGAAGCACATGGAGGTTTAAATGAGGACATGTACTCCACCAGATCATTTCCTAACTAGGACTTGGGCACTAATGCTAGATAGAGTGCTGGGAAAGACTAAAATGCCCAGACACTTCACATGCATGATTCTCACTCCATAACTGGCCCAAGGACAGAATGCAATGCAGAGTTGTGAGTGAGTAAAACTCATTGTTCTCAGCAGGCTTTAAGAACCAGTACAGATTATTTGCTGTTCCCATACCAATCCAGATTTATTTTGGATCAGCAGTGACTTCAACATGATTAGTACACAGCAAAAAACACTGAGCCACAGTGCCATGAACCTCTTCCTAGCCAGAATGCTAAATATATACTTTTTTTTTTGACCCTCTGAAAACCCTTAAAAAATTAAATGAAAAATTTTACCTCTCAAAGTGATGGATCATATTAAAATTAAGAACTATGAACTTTTAATCTGAGATGGATTTGCTACAATATCCTTAATATGTTGCACACAAAGTGCATTCAAGATTAAGAAGGCACTGTTTTGAATACATTTAGAAATTGGTTTATATTTTAAAATAATTCCCTTGAAAGAAATAAGATTCCTAAAGGTCGTCTTGCATTTTATGATATGCACTAATGCCTGCTTCTTACACTGGATTCCCAAATCTATTTCCTTAACTGAAAGGCCTCAAAACAACCTTGAAAAGGCAAAACACAATAAAATGCAGAAGCCAGTTGTGTTCAGGAAAATAAGTTAACATTCATATTGTAGCCAAATCAAATTACAGTGACAGTTCTCCCTATCAGGTATCTGGCTCTAATATTGCCTTTCTTTTTTTTTTTTTCCTTTTAAATAAAATAATTCCAGGAGTTGATTTTATGAATTAGTTAGTCTGCAGAGGAAGAGAACAGCACGTAGTAAGACTGGACAACACTGTTTCAATGGCAAAGCATACAGTGTTTTATTACTGAGCATTTCCTGTTAAGACTCTTAGATCACCTTTAATTCTTCACCAATTAAACTATATATGTTACAAAGCAATGACTGAGCAGAGTCTGCCACCAATATGTTACAGAAGACTTGTAAGTTAAAAAGTGAAATAGGCAATAACACAGTTATTTAGCTCGTTGGATGAGAAAGAAAGTTTCTGGAGGGATTTATCACCAAGCAAATAATAGCCTGTTCTGCAGAAGAACTGAAATTATTTTTTATAGAGATATTTATGAAGTATTTCTGCATGTGTATTTGCAAATGCCACGTGCACACATACAAACATATATATAAAAATATATACATGCAGACATGAAACCCCAAACTTAAGCTAAATTAAAACGTCCCTCCAGCTTTGTAATGCAAATGAGACTAACAGGCTTGTGCTGTTTGTGGTTCAAGATGATTTGCGTTTCCATAGAGATGCTGACTGAACTACAGTTTTTAAATTTTTTATATATATAAGCCTACTTGTATCTATAAAAGTCTAAATATGGATCCGCTGTACCTCAGCATTTCCTCAGTGACTCCACTGGAACCACAACAATTTACACCAGTTAAGGCTATGTGCAAATTTTGTGTCTTTTTGCGATTTTTCAGTTTAAGCTCTATACCAAGTACCTGCAGAGCTGAGAGTTTGCTATTTCTCTCCTGAATCCTAAGCTTCTTGGTAAGGAAGGGGAAGAAAAGAGAAAAAGCAGTTTCTTAGCTGCTAGTAGATAATATTCCAAGGACTTGTGTAATTTCTTGCCCTCCCTAAACTGCCTTGAGGAACACCTTTGCCTTCAAAAGTTTCCAATGTCAGGAAACCTGGAATTCAAGGAAGACAGTCTGTGTGCTGTTAGAGAAGGAAATAACAAAAGGATAGGGTTTCTGTTATGTATCAGAAGCTTTTTCCCCTTTCCCTGTCAGCACCCATAAACCCAAAAGCAGGATGTGCTCAGACATGTCAGGGTGGGCCTGGGCAGTGATGGTGTCACTGACACCCTGCCTCACCCTTTGGTGGAGCCTCAGCTTGTCATGCACAAGGGCCCTGCAAAGCTACAGTGCCTCTGTGCCCCCAGAGCCACATAAAAGGCTTCCACCAGCAGAAGTGACAAAAGCCAGACAGGGCCAGCTTGGGCAGAGAAACCAGGCAGACCAGTTTAACTTTCTATTTCAACTTGACTTCACTTTATGAGGTCCAGGCATTGGCTGAAGTGGATGGAGGCCACCCGGCGTACCATCACCGGAGAAGAAAACCAGAGCCAAGCTCTGCAGGAACTCATTTCCATGTGGTTTCAGTGATAAGTGATCTTTGAACAGTGACACACCAGAGGACAACCTCCACAATCACTGTGAACCACAATCAAAACCAGCCTCTCATGTACCTCCCATCTGCCTGAGGAGAGGGAGGATTACAAGTTGAACCAGGGTTGTCCACAAGCACATGGAGCAGAAGCTCTCACCCAACCCCTCACTTCATCTTTGAGGGCCCAGAAGGGAAGACCCCAGTGCAGCGATGCTGTATGGAGGCATGGCCAGGGAGCTCCTTGGGCAGTGGCATGTCACAGGGACAAAGCCTCCCTCCTGCCTGTGGGGTGACACCATACCTCCACACATGACATTGGCTCATCTTTGGAGGCTGATGGCTTTTCTAAGCCCCCACAAAGCCTCTTTTCAAAGCAGATGAGACTTCCCTATTTCCAGTTTTTAAGATGCCATACAGAGGGAGAACTGCCCCACGTCTGCAATGGCACCACTTTCTCAACACCTTTCAGAGACGGTCCCAAGCCACGTTCAGCCATGTGGCTCTCCAATCCCATGGGGGGTGAGCACCCACATCTCCTACCTTCTGCTGCAGGGTGGGCGGCTGTGGGGCCAGCACCGGGTCAGTGATATAGGTCTTCTTACTGCCTGGCGGCTGGTAGAGCCCAGGAGGAGCCTGGCCCATGGCGTTACTAGCAGGATATGCTGGCTCAGCCTTCCAGGAGCTCTGTGGCACGTAGGGCGCTTCGGAGCCATTTCTTCCCCCGTACCCCCCGTAGTAGGGGTCCTGGTAGCGGCCCTGCGGAGGCGCATATCCATAGGCGGGCTCCGCAGGCCGGGCGGGCGGTGGAGCGTAGCCGTAGTCGGGCCCGTGGGGCTGTGGCGCTCCGTACTGCGGGGCGGAGGGCTGGCGGGACGGCGGGGCCGCGTAGGGCTGGCCGGGCCCCAGGCTGCCATAGTGCGTGGGCTGCAGGCCGGGCGGCTGGTAGTGCGGGCTGGGCTGCGCCGTCCTCACCTGGACGTTGAAGGCCGGGCGGCTGGGCGTGGAGGCCGTGGCGTAGGAGGCCGGCACTGGCTGCGGTTTCAGAGTGCCCACAGGAGTGACCGGGATGGGCGCCGGCTGCCCCGGGCCCTTGGCAGTGGATTTCTTGGTGGCGGTCAGCGGAGGCTGGTTGGGGATGATCATCCGCTTGTGGCCAGTAACAGGGGTGGACACGGATGGGGTGGTGGCGGCAGAGCTGCTCGAGGTCCCAGAGACCTGGGGAGCAAGGAAAAAGAGACACAACGTCAGCCGGATCAAGAAGCGAGGGGTTAGGTGGAAACAGGGATTTACAGTAACAGCTGTGCAGCAACTCAAACTGCTTAGAAAAGCAGGAATGTACCTGAGACTATGCATTATAAAATGGTAATAGCAATCTACCCCTGCTCTGACAGAACAGGGACAGCAGCACGGCAGCCAAGTAGAACTGCTGTGCGAGGCATTTCATCTCTCCTTGCAGTTTTCTCCTCTGCCTCCAAACAAATAAACAAAGTAAAAAATGATAAATGAAAAAAAAAAAAAAGGGAGACTCACTGGAGAATAATTAGGGGAAACCCCTGGCATTCCTGTGAAAATACAAGTGTTTTGAAAAAGAGAGAAAATGAGATCATAGTCTCTATGGAGACATGAGATCCCTTGGATCCCTAGAGCACTTGTAAGGTTCTGCCCTAATACAAGAGTACTTTAACTGTGCAGGAGGCAGCAGGGTGGGATGGCCTAAAAGTATGTCCCAAACTGTAAGAATCAACTTAAATGAAAGCACAACATGGAGGTATCCCTAACCTGGATGTGCTGTTTGAAAACCTGGAGTGACCCCAGAGAAGGCAAATGTTACACATGCTTCACTAAAGGGCAGAAAGGTGGGCAGGATTCCCAAGATTCAGAAGTCAGCTCCCACCATGGCAGTCATGTAACCCTGCACCAATGCCCCAGGCACAGCAGTGTTGGGGCAGCCAGGGAAGAGCATCACAGCAAATGATGCCGTTTCCTGCAATTTGGTCACGGAATGAAGCTTTGGTGCAGTGACGCCAACCTAATAGGCATTGTACATCCTTCAGTCTAATGTACTTGTTTGTCTGCCTTACCTCGCATTTAAATATTCAAAAACACCAGTGTGAAAAGACATCTTTGTTAAAGGACTAATAATGTGAAACAGTTTCTGAAGAACACTGAAGAACACTCTTCAAGTTTTTTCACTAAATCATAGAAGAGGAAACTTGAACTTCTGGACTTTAGGATTAGGTAAAATTTCTTGTATCTTTATTTTACTTTATTCTGAAAGAGTACCTGAATGTTATGCATTCCTATACAGAGATGCATTTAAGTGAAGATGTAGTTTGACTGCACCTAACACTACAGTTACACCAAGTTATATTTCATCCAAACTTCCTGCACTAGGCTTGATGTCATCCATGATCTGCTCGATAACCTACAAGTTCACAGCAGCCCAAAGTCAGACCAGTTCAGCTCTCACCCATGGTTATGTTCACTCTAAGGCACGTGCTACCTTTCTCTAAATGACCAATCTTGTATTTGTTCTCAGTGTTCCTGCTTTATGCTAGCACCCTGACCTCTACCAACTGCCCCATCACCCTCTTGCCAGGGAGAGCGGGGGGCTCTTCTGGACACCCCACACGGGCTGTACCGGCCCAGAGAAATCCTCTGCCTGGTCAGCAGGTGGCGACAATCAATTGCTGCCAAACCACCCAGGGCACTGGCTGGAGAGGAACTTCAACCACCCATGTCTCTGAGCCTCTAAGGGTTCCAAACTCACCTCCCATAGAAGGTGGGAGAAAGTAGGACACTGCCTCGCAACATTTGGCAACCACTTCACACGAAGAAAAGGGAGATAAGCGCAAGCCACTCAACTTCTGGTCCATAGACCACAAGTAAGTCTACTAAAGGGTAAGGAAACTCTACCACCCAACTGGTAGCTCTTCCCTGGTGATGTGAAAATATTTTTTTGCTGATGCACTGGTAAAGACCTTATTCCTGCAATCACACCTTCAGGGCAAACCTCCCATGACAGTAAACCTCCCAGGAGGAAACACTACAAATCATCAAGAGAACCCAAGCAAATAAGAGCATCAATCTGTTCTGAGTTACGTAAAAGGTGTGCATGCAGAGGTGGGGAATAATAAGGCAGAAAACTTCTGCTGGAGGAAAAACATCTAAATGTATTCACACACTGACCTTGCTAACAGATCCATGACAAGGTAGCACATAGACTGAAGAGATTTTGAAACTGAGAGCAAGGAAGAGCTGAAGTGTGTCTCAGTTGAACTGCAAGGCCAGAGAAAGGTAAGGGCCTGTAGTCCTCCCTTAATACTGCTCTATTCTTCTATTTCTGAAACACCTGAAGACGAGCAGGCATTTCTCCATCCTTGTGTCAGAGCAGAACTACACCAGCACTCACTGCTAGCAAGAAAACTTGTTTTCTGTCAGAATTGTTCTCCCATGTCAGGTTGGCATTTATGCCTGGGAGTGTCAGAAACTTTCCCATTTCCTCACCTATTTCATTCTTGTAAATGACAGTAGTTTGTCCACTTACTGTAATGGGATGAAAGGTCTATGATGCGGCACTGTGTAATTACCACCAGAAAAGCATTTTTCTTTTCCATGTGAAGAGGGAGAAGGCAGATAATGCTATAAAGACAATGGCCCAGCAGAGAGAGAGAGAAAAACCAAACCAAAACAACATAAATGAGCCCTATTCATCACATTATATATTTCTGAATGCAGACTCTGGAAGCAGGTGATGACAACTCAACTAAACCTCTTACAATGAAAGTCTATCCTATCCGAAGAACTGGGGGACTTTATTCTTAAGTATAAACATCCACATAACATTTCACTTGATGTGCTGATGCCAGCGTCCTGCCTGGACTGGAATATACCCTAAGAATGAATGATAAACCATTTCTCCACAAAAAAAACCCTCATGGTCTACTGACTGGCACTGAGCAGCTCTTGTGTTTCACACTACAAGGAGGATGAGCTGGGAGTATCTCCTCCTGCACCAGAACCCAGTGAAGGAAGGTGCCAAGTTCGGGGTGCCTGGGCCAGAGGCCAAGCTTTGCCATCAACTTACAGTGAAGGCTTGAGCTAACAAGTACCAGCTGCACTGTGGCATCAAACCACAGGCTGCCTTGAGGAGGAGGAAGTTTGCATCAGTAGGAGTCCCCAGAGGCGCCCTGTGTGACTCATTTTGAATTCCTCTGAGGGCTCTGGGCAAGTGTGTGATGAAAGCTGGGTTTTAGGGGGGGAGGTGTAAGGCTAAACTGATGTGGTATAGTAGAGAAATGGGATAGATTAGAGGGAGTTTACCACTACTGGAGCACTGATGATTTAGGGGGACAAATTGGCTGTAACTCTTGAGCAAGGGTACAGGTGAGGTATCACCATAAATGCTCTGCCCTTTTGCCTGGGAGACAGAAGGGTGGCCACAGTCCAACCATGCACTCAAATATCACCTCAGGCTTAAACCTCTAGATTACTAATGGATTAAGAAAAAAACTTTTTAAATGTACATGAACTATGGACAAGATTCCTACTCTGAGGACAGGAATGTGTGGAAGGATAAGAGAAGGGCACGCAGATACCACTGGGAAGAGAGATTTCAATAGATGTCTGGAAGGCACTCGGAGGATAGGAGGGATGGATGAGGCTATAAAGATGCCAGGTAGATGGAGTAATGAACAGAAAGCTGGTAAGGCCTTTCTACATCACTGGGTAGAGTCCTAGCAAAACAGATGACTATCACAAATGTTTCATCCAAGGAAATCCATAGAAATTCTACCAGCACAACAAAGTAGACTCATCCAAAAGCACATTGAAGTGACAGCCCAGAATCATGAAAACAAATAGAAAGAGGAAAAAGAAAATGGAGAAGGGCAAAGAGAGGATTCATAGGAGTACAGGCATCCCTTTCTCCAGCAGCTCCTGGACAGCTCATTTCAAAACCATACTGCATTTGCATGTGACTATCGCAGCCAAACACGCTCTCTGACATCCTCTAAGGGCTGTTTTCAGAGGAAGACAGGCTTTCCTCTGTTCACCATGCCATGATGAAACTGTCTGACACACTTTGCAAGTGCAAATTAGAACCACGCTACTTACCATCAACCCCTTCTTGCAAATTCATATTTGCAAAGAGAGTAAACTAGAAACCCCAGGTGTTGATAACACAGAGTTGTTAAGAGAAACTAGAGTAGGAAGGAGTTAAATTCAGAACCTCATCTACCACAAGCATAATAATACAAAATCTTTTTTTTTAATGGGAAAGCACAAGAGCCTTGTTTAAACACAGATGGAAGTACCTAAATGTACTGCCTCTTCTACAAATGAATTATCCAGCAGTTCAAATAGAGGTGAACTAATACTGACAAAATCAAGTAAAACTCAATCAATGTGGGAGGAAAAAAACCCCAAAACCCTTCTCCTAAAAAAAAGTTAGCATATATAACCACGAGGGGAATAATTTTGCTTGGCAACTCCTGCCTTGTCTTCTTAAATGTAGAGAAAGTTTATAAGCATTTGCAGGAGTTTCTTGTATCAACCATCGTAGGAGAAGTCTATGGTGTTGTGACAAACCTGTGCTGTCCAAGAGGTCTGACTGTCAAAGCTGGGTACCTGGATTCAAAGCTACCCTGGTGGGGAAACCTGAAATCCTGAGTATCAGTGACTCTTCATTCTGTAGAAATTATTTACATAGATCTTAAATTAAATTCAATGTATATCTACAACTAAAAAGTCATCACACAGATACGAGGGACGAAACCTGTTGTTCTATAGAAATTAACCTATAATTCTACACCATTTGTTGGGGTTAAACCTTAAAAAGAGTACAGAATAACCATAGTCTACAGCAGAGGCATGATTCTATATGACCAGCTGGAATCCTTATGAAAAGAACTTCACTGTCCTTTTATTTTGTGCATTTGTGGAATAACTTTTATAGAATCTCCTCAGTTACTCAGGTTTCACAGACTGTATCAAAAATGCCAACACAAAGTTTATCACATTCTATTCTATTCTTCAGGCATTTTTCATTAAGGTACAGTTGAATAGCTTTAGCCCTTTAGCTGTCCAATTATCACATATAAAGATACATTACTCTAGCTCAGTGGTTTTCAACCTTTATGCTCGGCAGCCCCCAAACATTTTTCAGAAGACACAAGCTCCTTTATGGAGAAAGTTAATCTATTAACAATAAACAT